TTTTAAAAATTTTATTATTTTTGTGTGAGTGTACCGTCAAATCAGATCTGACTGGTACAGGAGGAGATTGTCCCTCCTTCCCCGGCAGAGCATCTTGTGGACTTGAACCGCGCGCCTCTGGGATTGTAGTTGCAGCTCCTTGCCACTAAGCCACTAGAGCTCCCCAGAGTATATTTTCTAAAAAGTATCTAAGCATTGAAATCCCATCTGCTCCAACTATTCACTGCTAAGTAATATACATCAAGGAAATTTAAACTGAGACATGAACAGAGATATGTACATTTATGTTCATAGCAGCTTTATTTATAATAGTAAGAATAAGAAAACAGTGAAAACACCCATCAACAAATTAATACATTAGGACACCGTGATACATTCACATGATGTAATACTATATAACACTGAGGAACAACAATTTCACAAAATATAATATGGAGAGTCTAGAAAGCATTATACTAACTCAGTGTCTTAAGGGCAAATATTATATAAGACGATTATTGTAAAAATAGAAGGATAACCTGTAATGTGTATAAATGTTCAAAAGGGGAAGAGAAAAGGGGAGGGAGGCAGTAAATGGGGAAGGGTGGAAATCCTTAGGATAGCAGAGTTTAGTGGATAGATGAGAGGAGTGAAGAAACAGGAAAGATTCAATGAGGACTCAAAAAGATGGAGTAGGCATAGATCAATAGTAATTAATTACATACAATGCAATGTATATGAATGATTGTATTAAACACAATGTACATAAATGAAACGCAATGTAAATAAAGTATTTTTAAAATGTCTTTATCTCAAAAATAAAAAGAAGCACTACACCAAGTCTGAGATTTCTCTGAAAATCTCTGACTCTGCAGCTAATAGCAGAGCAAGGGCAAGTTTATTGATGCATTGTTTTCCTTTTGATACATTGTTAAACTGCTCTTTGATGCTGGTATTATCTAATAGCTATATTACAGCTGTGTTAACTGTTATTCATGTGTGAATAATCATACTATCTTTTACTCATGGGGCATTATTTTTGTATATCTGACCACCTCCGAATATCCAATTCTTCAATCTAATGGGCTTTGTTTTTCCTCTGCATTGACCTGATAAAATCCTAGGGCCATTGTGATTGCTTCTCACCCAATACACTTAAATTTCTGAAAGGCAGAAATCATGTTTCAGATGGCTAAATTTCTACCAGTGTCCTACAAAAGGATGAGCACATTGGAGATGCTCTGAAAAGACTTGCTGAATATAGGTGTCAGACCTAAAAGTAGGTGGAAATTTCACTTTCAAAATTCTAAAAACTAATACTTATGCTCTGCATATGTTTATGTACTGTGGTTTTACGTCTAATTGGATTGAGAGTCTAGGGAGGTTGTTGGGTAACACACTAGATGAGGATTAAAGTGCTTATAACTTCTTCCATTCTTCTTCCAGGATTGATTCTGGGATACCTTAACCTGTGGAATATGCCATGCAGCCTCCTGGGTCCTGAATAGTGTCTGAAATCTTCATGGTAGCATGTAGAAGTTTTATGTCAATTTATACAACATGGTATATCTAGGGCTTCCCAGGATCACCTGTTTACATGACTATAAGATTAATGAAAATATTCATTATTTATATACTCAGTACAAATCTTGGTATGATCTTTCTTCTCATATCTTTCTCTATTACGCTATTAACTCAGCCTTCAAGTGGCTCTTCTGTGATTTTATTAGATGTCTATCTTACTTGACAAGTAAAACTACTCTGCCTATTTTCATGTTCTCTATTATTTCCCCTGTCTTGAGCCTGTTTAATCACTGCCACAGTTAAAGATTCTCCAGAAAATTCTTACTTTGAACCAAAGGCTAGCAATTTAGAGATGTTGTTGAGGTAAAATGACTGATTCATAAGGTAAAAAAGGTGCCTTTCTTTCCTGAGATTGGCCACTACACCAGATAATTGAACACGGAACACTTTATTTGTGCTAAATGTAAAGGCTCTCTGGTTGTGCTTGCTGCCATTAACTTGCAAAGATGGAATTCTTTTTCAGTTCATTGTGAGACTTTGTCAAATATTTGCAGGAGAATTAGAGTAGTCAAACAATTGATAGCAAGGAAGGATTGTGGGTTGTGCTGAAATAGCTCAGCAAAGATTTGGTTGCAAGGAAACAAACCAAGTTCAAACCAGTAAATCTTGTTTTGTTTTGTTTTCAGCCTTCTCTCTTCTGGAAACACTGTGTTTCCCTCTTTCTGTTTTGGGAAATACTTCTTACCTTTTCAGGTCTATTCAGTTCTCTCTTTTCAGGATGACCTCACAAATGGGTCCATCCCCATGTCCATCTGCCTCATGACATAGACTGATTGATACTGTTAGTTCGTGTCACTTCTTCTATGCTAATTCTCTGTTTCTCCCTTCTGGAGTGCAGGACTATATCTTATTTAAAATTGAAGGCCCCTCTCCCAAATTATGCCATTGTCTAGCCAACATACTGATCAAGTGCTTATCCTGTACCAGAGTGTCTAGGTACTTTCCTATGCCCAGAAGGACAAAGAAGACTATAGAGAGTTACTCACAGAGGCAGAGTCTGTTGGCCCAGACCAATTGTCTGGATTGGCTGCAATGATACATTCAGATATGTTGGTCCTCATGAACTTGTTTATTGAAAAGTATTAAGCACGATTTTAGACATAAAACAAAAATAAGAAAATACAGAGAAGTCATAGTCACAATTACTATTGAGCAGGTCTGAATTAAGGAGTCAAAAAAATCATTTCCTCTTTTTTGTTTGCATATGGAAATGACCAAGGTACACTTACCCAAATAAGAGGGCAATGGGGATCCAATACCAGAACAGAACCACTTTAGAAGCAATAGGAGTAAGAGTGCCTGAATCTCTCAGGAGGCTAGCTACTTGAGAGACCTTGAAGTGCTGGAACTTCCAGCCCCAGATTGCTATATTGGAGAGTGGAGCATTAAGGCTATGGGAAGAGCCAGAGATAGCCCAGACAAGAGAGAAGGGAGGATCCTGGAGTGTGAGTAGAGTCAGGCTAGATGAGGGAAAGGAGAGACCCCAATTTAGCCTCATAAACCTGAATAAGAAGCCTCTGTGGTCTCAGACCAGGATGAATCACGGTGAGAAGGCAGATGGAGTTTGTGCCTTCTCTGGCTAGGATAACCTAGGCGCATAAGCAACATCCCCATACGTTCTCGGAACTTGACACCTACAAAGGCATATAACAGTGGGTTGAGGCAGCAGTGCATAAAGCCCAGACCTGAGGTAATTGACTTAGCCACATCAACAAATTTTTCTCGTCCACAATCGCGGGCTAAGGCCCCCAAGTCCATAAGGGTGTCCACCAGAACCACTAGATGATATGGAGTCCAGCACAGAGCAAAGACTACCACCACTACCACCACTATCCTCATGGCTCTCAGCCGCCGTTGGCCTCTGGAGACCAGCAGTACAGCCAGGATGCGGGCATAGCAGTAGGCCATGACCATCAGGGGCAGCAGAAAACCAGCAACCAGTTGCAGCATTCTCAGAGCTGTGTGGCCCACCTGAGGGAAGTTGTACTGGCAGTGGGTGGCATTGAGGCGCTCGTCATGGTGGGCTGACAGGAAGATTAGTTCCGGGAGGGCAAAGAGTAGACAGAGCCCCCAAACCACTATACAGGTAAGGGCCACTCGAGTTGGGGGCCCACGACGGTAGAGCTGAGTGGCATGCACTATGCTCAGGTAGCGGTCAAAACTGATGCAGGCCAACAGAAAGGCCCCTGCATAGAAATTTATATTGAAGAGAGCACCTGCCACTTTACAGAGCCCAGTGCCAAAGACCCACTGAACAGCAGCATCCACTGCCCAGAGTGGGAGAGTCAGCACCAGCAGTGCATCTGCCACAGCCAGATTAAGCAAGAAGGTGTCAGTGCTGCTCAGGACTTCCCGTTGCTTCAGCAGCACGGTTGCCACTGCACCATTGCCCAGCAACCCCAGTAGAAAGAGGAGGCCATAGAGGGTTGGTAGGAAGGCTCGATCAAAGTTCAGGCTGAAATCCTGTGGGCAGGGTGAAGAGGCACAGCAGAAGTCGGTCTCATTTTCCTCATAGTCATACGAAGAACTACAGTTTTCCAGGAGGAAGGCAAAATTAGAGGCATCTAGAACTTGATGTTTGCTCATCTGTGAGAAGAGGGAGGCAAGGACTGTGTAAAAGCCTTTGCAATCACTCCTTCAATATTTAGTCTAATGAATGGTTTTGAAGAAGTTTCTCTATAAGACAGGCTCTGTTAACTATCTATTCCTTTCTTTGAATTCCATCTGTCCCACTTTAGCTCTGAGATGCTAATTTCCCCTTTCAAGGTACCTTCTCTCTCACTTTCTGGGCCATCCAGTGACCCAGGGCTTCTCCTATATAAAGAGCTCTCTCCGCACTCTCTCTTCTGTCTCCTTTTTCTTCCTTCATTGCTTGTTGATCCCAGTGTCTACTTCAGTCACCGAGATGCCTCCTTATAGACTTCCCACTTGTCTGGGGACCCAAACTTTCTGTCTCCCATGGAAGCCTCTTCAAATCGCTGCAGCTCCAAAACATAAAATTTCTGCTCTGGTCCTTGCCTGTCCCCGCCACTGGGGGCTGTCCCACCCCCAACTCTAGTGGAAATATTCCTTACCCCTTCATCTATCCCAGTGCAAATTAAATCCAGCATAGAAAAGCCAAAGTTGAAAGAGCTGAAAGGAGCTTTATCACAGCTGAGCCTCTACCTATTACACATTTGCAGCTGAGGCACCAGAATGAGAGGAAGATATAGGCAAGTCAGTGCCCAAGCTAGCTTCCTAATTCCCCCATCCAGTGTGTCTTCACCCTAAGCTCTGCAATATCTGCCTACTTACCCAACCCTTCAGAACCCTTGGGTTGTGGGTCAGCCCTGAAGTTTCCCTATTGTCCTACGTTCACTCTCAGACCTGTAGACTGGCCAGGCTAGGAAATAGCACTTACCTCAGGGACCATGGCTGGGCTGTTGTTTTGGCAGTTGCTTACCCCTCTGCTTGGGTGCTTGTGGTTGGGAACCTACACTGCACAGAGGAAGAAAGAGTTCTGAGTGGTTCACAGCAGCAGCCTCTTCCATGAGGTGATCTACAACAAAATCTATTGAGACTCAAAATCACAAAAATCCTTTTTCCTGTCACTGCACTGACTGATTAAAGCTATTGTGAAAGAGGTGGCAATAGGCTTAGGGTCAAAAAGCTTGGGCCCTAGGAAGGGCAGGAGGTAGTTGGTAGAAGCTTCTATGAGGAGTGTGTAAAAACCATATAGCTGGGACAAGAAGGAAAACTACTCTGCTAGGGCTTTTCCTGAACTGGTTATTTTCAGTGCTCAAGAAATTATAATTTATTTTCATCTTTCCTAAGCTAGAATTGACCTCTACATGATTGTATAGATTGGACTACTAAATGGATTAAATTTAAATTAAAATAGTTTCTCTTTTCTTCCCCCGAGGCTCAATGCTGAGTACTCTCCCATTTTAATAATTTTTTTTCAAATCCTAAGACAATCATACCAACAAATTACTTCAAACACCCATCACCATCCCTATTTATCATCCATATTTTTTGATTGTCCATATTTCTTTCATCCTTCTTTCTGCTATTACTAGCTTTTCTGCTTGCACTTGAAAGTAAAACACAGTTCCAGGTTACAGCAAACTAGATAGCTTTGCTCCACAGCCTGGTTCCTGCTGAAGGGCCATCATAGGTTTAGAAACCCCAACATCAGAAATCAGCTTGTACTTCAAAAATGGACTTTTGAATACATTTCAAGCAGAGATGTCTTCACTGGCTTGTAGAAGAAAGAGAACTATTTCACAAATACCACTGTGTTTTAATTTCTTGAGGTTACCCAGGCCAAGACCATATTCCTGCAATGCTTCACTCATTGCTGTGTTGTCCCAGTCTTTGCTTACAAAGGAAAGATTCTCACACCCTGAGTTCACACATTGAGGCTGAGGTGACAGTGTCACAGGAGATGCACTCATCAATTCAACATCCATCTGATGATAAGGGAACTCAGCCTCTGGAACTACATCTGTGATCATTTCACAGATTGTCTCAGGAGAGGTTGCTTCCACTGTACAGGTCTCAGGTTTGTTGTTCATAAGCTGCTCAAAACTACTTTCCAGTGGGTGGAGCCACAATTTTGATCTGCAGAGGAGGTGGCTGTTGCTGTAAATGGATTCGAACTTTCTGAGATGGAGGTTGTTGCATAGCCTGGAGCAGGGGAGGTTGCTGCACAATGATCACTTGCTGAGGCATTTGTTGAAATGGAGGAGGCTATAATTGAGGTGGAGGCAGTTGCGTAGAAGCAGTAGCAGCTGCTGCTGCCTGTGATACTGACTGAGTGATAATCTGGGCTTGCTGGCTGGGCTGGATAGTAGTTGTACTGGTTTGGCCTAGCTGGAGCCCACAAGAGGTCACCACTGTAGCTGGAATAACAATAACCATCCATCCTTGAGACAAAGTAATAGAGAAAGGTAATACCTGCTTAATAATAATCAATTTGGTGATATTTGGCTGGCCCCCAACCCCTGAAGATGCCTGGTTTGCAACATACAAAGAAAAGAGTAGCATTAACAACAATGGAAGGGGATAAAGCAGGGGGCTCAGTTGAGGTTGGTTCTGGAGATGCTTGATCAACAGTAGCCATGGGAGGTGGAGAGGGCCCTGTGCTGGATCCAATTCTACTTTCTTTACAGTAGACTGATACTCTTGGTTGTCTTTTTAAGCAGTAAGAGCCTTCAGATACTCTTTCTTGGTAGCTTCCGTTTTCAGCATATAAACCCTGTTTCTGCTTTTCTCCAAGACTGTCCCACATAGAGGCCACAATTTTTTAAACATCCCCAAAAGTGGTATTGGGATTCTGCCCCTTGATTGCAGCCTCTGTATTATGGGGGGGGGGAATAAAGCATATGTGGAAACTGCTTTTTGAGGTGCATTAGGATCTTTCTTCCTTCTCTTCTTTGGGGCCTGTTGCAGAATGTTGGGGAGGAAGGGTGGGCCTTCAACCATGACAGATCACCTAACCTCCAGAAAAATGCAAGCCTCCCAATGGCCTTTAATACAGGGTAGAGAAAACTCCCCTGTGTTTGGCTGTACCAGCTTGAGAAAGCTTGCCACCTGGGAAGACGGCTGCTGGGTCTGTTGAGCTGGGAGTGGTCCGCACAAGGCTGAGGTTTTCCTAACCAATCCACATGTCCCACATCTGTAAGCCCACCCTATCCTGTCTTTCTGTTTTCCTGGTTGTATATTAAGTGCTCTGCAGTCCCAATAAAACTGAGCTGGATTGACTTTCTGATCCTCTCCCAGAGTGGTGTATCTCCATTGTTTTTACCCATATCAGGGTGTCGCTGTCAAGTTGCCAACAAACTGACAGTGAGAGGGGCTATCTGCTTTTTCCATGCTTCTTCCACAAATATTGTCTGGCAATGAAGAAATCTTCAACACCATCCTCACGAAGTTAATTAATAGGTGAAGGGGTGATTGAAAGATTATCCTCAGATGACTGGGTAGTAGGCAGGATAATGCCATCCCCTAAGCTTAAACCAAGTTGATGACTCAGTTTTGACTGATCAATGGTGGTCAAATGGCTATGCCCCACTAAGCCAGATGTCATGTCTATCATTGGCACATCTATTGTAACAAGTAGGTTGGCACTGTAGTGAGTTCCTATAGAATGCTCCAAGTCCATGGTCAAGCTCCCACTCAGGAGACCCTTGCTTTGCTCCATCAAGCCATGAGTCATGCCCACAAGCATGTTCAATATTTGGACCCCATATTGGGCTGAAAAGTGGCCATCGTGTGAGGAGGAAGGGTCTGCCAGGTCATCACAGTAGCCAACCACATCTAAGATAGCCAGTGTGGGATCATCATCCAAGGAGATATAGGTGGAATATCAAGTTCCTCATCACCCAAGCTTGGTGTATGAAATGTCCTGGCCCCTAACAGGAACAGATGCAAGGACTCTATGATCATCAGGCAGTTGTCACCTCCTTTGGGAAACTTTATCTTTACACAACCACTGGCACTGTCTCCAAAGTTAAAATAACTTCTGATAGTGTAAGTTCGTAAGGAGTTGTGATGCTAACCCAGTCTACATCTCTTTGGTGGTTCAAATCTACCAGTGAGAAAGATGGTTAATCTCCTACTATATGAGAAGATAGATAATCTCCTCCTATGTGATTTACAGCCTTGGAACTCAATGGTGGGTCAGTTATGAGTCATCTCCCACTCTACGACAAGTCTAAACTTTTTTTTAAATTCTTAAAGCAACTAAAATATTTTAAAGACTATATAACTTTCCTATTAGGCCTGCTTATTAATTTATAGGGGAAAGGAAAAAGAAAAGAAACTACCTGTTAAATACTGACTAATGTGCCTGTGCTATTTTAAGTCGGTATCCTCTTAGAGTTCAGAGTTATTACACATAGGGTAGTAGTAACTCGATGGCATATATCAACAACAACAATCCTCTTTGATGTTGCCTCATTCCCCTGTGAGGTGAGATGAACACTTTTTGATCATGATGAAACAGACCTAAAAATGGGAAAGGCTTTAATGCTCTTAGTATCATACTGTCTTCAAATTTCTTTTTTTTTAGTAGACAAACTGTGATATACTACTGTTAGGAGAAAATAAACTAAAGCTACATAATTTAACGTAGTTCTGTCATGGAAAACCAATGACTTCATTGCAGATCAAGGATGTGGGGAAATAAATTACAAGATATTGTGTGTAGTTTGATATTACTTAAGTAAATTCTAAAAGCCACATGCAGAAAACAATATCATATTATCTTGGTATTCATCCTAATAATTTAAACACAAAAACTAGAGACACCATACATTCAGGAGAGCAATTGCTTTTAGAGTGAGACAAAAGGGAATGGAGTGGAGGAGAAATCCATTCAGACCTTCTAATTTTCAGTAAAGCTGTAAAATAGTAGTTTTACATCATTGCACTAGGAGTTATGACAGTTGTGTGACAGTTCTCCCAAGCAGTTTCACCATTTGCTCTATTTTCCCTTGTCTCAAGGTGAAAAGGGGGAAAACAAATGCCTTAGGGTCTCGTTTGCTGACAGATTGTTTCACCAAAGCCTCTATGCTTATATCTAGAACTCAGTTCTAGCTAGTTAACAAAGAGTGAGCTTCCTAGGCATCCAGGCCTTTTCACACCCCCAGCAGTTATGGACAAATATTACCATCCTTCCCCTAAAACAGGTTATCATCTCCAGGACCAAGACAGAGGGAAAGGAAGGCCTAGAGGATGTCAGGAACAGTGCAAGTGGAGAAGACAGGTGAGTTCCAGAAATCATACTAGTTAAGATAGATAGGACATGGAAAGTGATCACTACCTGTGGGAAGTGAGGAAAGGGCAGGACAACCTGGACCACAGTTTACCAGTTTTGATTTGTAAGGAGGATTGATTTCACTGGGAACTAATGAGGAAAAACAGGACAAAAAGCTAAATTTGTTTCATTTAAAAGGTGGTCTTATATTCTTCATTTATGGCCTTTCTTGATATAAAAATTGTCTTTTTATTTATGAAATATGATAAGAATAAATCATAATCTTGAAAATATATTCTGCCAGAAGAAATTATTAACTCAATGTGAGTCCTCCAAATATGTATTGAAACTGTATTAGTCCATGTGAATATAAGGAGTTTGGATAGTGCAAACAGTTGATAACCTAAAGATTGGCAATTTCATAGAGTTGCTATGAATTATAGTTGACTCAATGGCACATAACAACAACAGCGCCACCTCAAAATATATTGCTGCTGAGTTGGAACAGACTCAAAAGCCCTTTGGCGGGCTTTTATAGGTTTTAATATGAATTATCAAAGGCTTTAAATTGCATTGGAGGAGATAGTCCATGTTTCTCCCTCACAACTGCTAGTGGTTTCAATCTCCCCACCTTTGGATTGGCAGTACAGCTCCCAATCCACTAGGCCCTC